TTCCTTGTTTAAATGACATGATTTATGTTGATTTGATAATGTTGATTGGTTGGGTTGCTAGTCTTGAGTCAATTCCTTCCTTCAAAAGAATTTTAGTTTCATTCGGGGACGAATGTTCCTAAGGGGGGATAATGTAACACCTTGAAAATCAAAGTCACATTGTAAAGCCTAACATAGGTGTCATAAGGTCTAAGTACTATTTCTAAGTCCATTTCAAATGAATATAGGACATTTAGGAGGTTTAAGAACCAAAACGTCCATGACGGCCGGGAAGTTGGTTCAAATGGATGTTAGTGTACCTTAGACAATTTGCCTAACTTTTAGGAGTCAGAAATGTACGAAAAATAGTGGAAAGGTAGCTAATAGGTGTTTGAGTTGTTTCATGGTTGAAATGTCTGGGGTACAACTCCCCAAGGACCAACCAAAGCCCTTGAGGAGGAACCATGTAGTTTGATGCAACACTACCTGGCAGTGTGAATCGACCGGACAGAAGACGGCCCGTGTGTCGATTGACGGGGCGTCAATACCCCCATCATACCACACTTAGACTTGTGGAAAAGTCCCCTTCACATGCACAGCCTCTGAACTCATCGACGCAGTGCAGAGGTGCAAGCTACGGTCGGTGTGTGGATCAACGGGGCGTCGATGCCACGGTTGTCCCACACATAGAAAATTTGGAGGAATCCCTCGCCTGCACAATCTCTAACAAAGACGATGGACTGCAGGACGGAGGGGGCTGTCCGTCGACTCACTGACGGCCCGTTAATCAAGGTTTCATCTGTGAGGGTCGAGTTTTCTGCGTAATTTAAGTTGGTCTTATTTATTTAATTAATTGGTTTAGGGTTAGATGGGGATTAAAGGGAGACTAATTAAGTTGATTAAGTCCCACTATAAATACCCTCAACCTTCATTAACCTAAAGACAACTCTCAAATAAACTCTCTTCCTTCTCTCTTATTTTTCTCTCTACATGAACTCACCATTGAAGACTAGCAAGGCTAGGGTTTGGGGGCTGGAAAGGGACGAATTCACCATCAAATTCTGAACCAACATTAAGGTATGGGCTCTATTCACCTTTAAGACTTTTTCTCAAAGGGTTTCTTGAAAATAGATTTCATAAAGTTGAGTTTTCTTATGGGTTTAATTCAATTACGAAATTAAAGTTATGAATTGAGTTGTTGATGATTTCTCTAGGTTATATTAAGTAGGCTAACATGTAATTCAACTTGTTTATGGTAATTGTTGATGGTTTGGTCTACATTGAAGAATATGATCCTTCATCCCTAACCCTAGGTAGTGCTTTTGACCTATATTGTATTGTGATCATTCAATTGAGTTGAATGTTTATTAGATTACTACTATATGGTGTTATTATGATTAAATTAAGATGAATTATAGGACTATCATGCTAGTTCTTGAGATGTTATTTAGGTTATGAATTATAATGTGAAATTAGCCTATGTATCTTGTCTCAATTTGTGATCTAAAGATGAATTGTGTTATAGAGATGAAATTGACCATTTTATTCTATTGATTAACATTATGTTATGATGTTACTACCCAAGTTGGTTTGAGTTATGGTTTGACGATAAGACCTTGATGATAGATTATGAGGAAGACTTGGTAAGTCTTAGAATCTCTATCTTTACTTCCAATTGTGATTAATTGTTGTTAAGTCATGATATTACATTGGAGTATGACTTATACTAGGATTATAGGGATGTGTGATGTTGAAATTGAAATGACTTGACTATGTTGTGAGGTTGATTAAGGTTTATGTGATATAAGGATGGTGAAAACTATCAATGTGGTTTGATATGCTATGAAATGCTAATGTGTTAACATCACCTATATGAATTTGATGGAAGGACTTATACTCATACAATTCTTATTGAGCTATTGATGATGATGATTATACAAGGGTAGACCCTATGGCCTAAATTAAGCTATGATTGATAATTAAAGGATTAAAGACATTTCAAAAAGGGACTCAAGCTTAACATAAAGTGAAATATATTGAGGAGTGTCCCTTCCCACATAGGGAAGGTAGGATCACTAATCTACTCTTGATATTGGAGACTCCAATGCATGTACCATACGGATAGTCCCAACTATATCTCCTAGTTCTTCAACTATATTTTCCTCAAGGAATACTAGCTAGTGGATCCACGTAGTTGCTATGTTCATGTTTTGGTACTACCTTGGCAAGTAGTCCGCCTTCTTTCGGTGTGGGGTTTTATGACACCGGATTCCACACTAGCTCATGTGGTATGTGTTGGTTAGGGCAAGATGTTCCCAAAAGTTAAAACGAATTAAAGGACTTGAACTCTAACTTGGGTAACCTAAGGGGTCTAGCTTAGTCTATGTAGGGGTATGGGACTCTACCTACACATTGCACTAGTTAGCCTTGATGGGAGTCTTAGAAGGAGGTTCTTATATATGTTTATGTTACGATAATATATGATGTATATATGATGACCATTGCACATTATTGATAATATATGTTAATTAGCTCATTTATGAATATGCCTTGGGTTGTAATATTAATATTTGATGAAATGTAGACCAAAATGTCATGATATGTAAAGTTGGACATTGGTCATGATTTCTTGTTGGGGATACTTGATTGAGTAAGGTTATGGGGCTTTGCTTTGTCATTGCACTCGTCGACTTGATAAGGAAATGTGAGTAGTTGTTTTGTTTATTATGATATGTTTGACTCTTATTCATTCTTGTGATAATATCCTTGATTTTAGGGTTGTAGTAAGTCATGGTTTCAAGTATGTTGGGATAAGTATTACTTGTTGAGATAGTAAGCATGTTTGGTTGATTGATATGACTTACTTGACTTTGCATTAAGTCCTTAAAGGGGTAAAATGACATGTTTTGACTAAAAAGTCCTTTTTAGCATGTTTTGCTTGTGTATGTGCATAAGATCTCATACTTAGTACATGTGAAGTACTAACCCAATTTTCTTCCTTTTTTCTCAATCATTTTAGGTTCCGGTCGTTGAAGAGGTTGGAAGGCGACATTGTTTAAGGCTTGGATTCTTTCTTTCATCAAAGTGGGGTAGGTCCTCAACTATTGAGGGCAATGCCATCATCTAGTTTACGGATTTTGCTATGAGCTTATTGACTCTTTCATTCCTTTCCTTTCTAATGGAGTATTTTACTTTCGTATGACCTATACATGGTCTTGTTGAATTGATGTAAGGGCTATGCATATTGTGGTAATTGTTTAAATGGTATGAGATGAGACAATCGTTGAGACTATTATGTATTTTACGTATATGTATGTGCAGTAAAAGTAGAAGGCTATGTAACCTTCCTATACGAAGGGTCTATGTATACTCGATATGAATATATATTATGTGTATGTAGAGGTCTATGTAAACCTCTGGTAATGTAAGTTTTAAATTTTTCTGCATTTTGTTTAACCTATGAATGTAAAGACATGAGACTAAGAGGCTTGTCTTAGTCCTTGAAAAGAACGACGACGCCGGTTATATCTATGGGGTAAACTCGGATGTGACACCTTGCAAAAGGTGGAAATATATTGTCAAGAAACAGTGTCCACAGACGGAGGCCACTGACGAGGCGTGGTCCAATTGACGGAGCGTCTATGACCAACATCGATGAACACTTAGTCAACTCTGCCAAAAGGTCATCTCGCATAGTCTTTGAACTCATCAACATATTTGCAGCACGGAGGTGCATAGTGACCCTCCATGGACACACGATCCGTCAATCATGGTGTCATCTGTGAGGGGTTTATTTTGCTACATGTTTTCATTAAGTCATTTAATTAGTTGGCCTATTTAGGAGGTTAATTAGGGCTCAAGGAAGGTCAAATTAAGTTAGTTAACCACCTATATAAAGCCCCTAAGCAAATTAGACTAGCCTAAGCTCCATAATTCTCAAACCCAAAACTCTCTTCTTTCTCTCTCTAGTGAAAAACTCCATTGAAGACCAAGCTAGAGGTGTGTTCAAGGGCAGCAAAGGGTCAAATTCCTTTATCAATCTTCATCAATTAGTAATGTATAGGATTCCATTCACCTTTGAGACCTCTTTCCTCAAAGAGTTCGATCAAATTGAATTTCAAAAGTTGAGTTTTTATGTGGGTCTTTTCCAATCTAGAAATTGATCTTGTGAATTACTTTGTTTATGATTTCTTTTTGATATTATGAATAGATTTACATGTGTTGTATCTTAATTATGATGTATATTGATGGATTGGTCTAGTTTGTAGAAGATGACCTTAACCCCCTTGACCCTAGGTTGTGATCTTAATATGAATTGTATAATGTCGATGTCAATTCAATTGAATTGGTTTTTGGTTGAAGTACTATCCTATTATGTGTTGTATCAATCTTGAATAGATTAGGATGAATTATAGTCCTATAATGCTAGTTCTTGAGAAGTTGATCTAGGTTATGAATATGTTATGAATCTGACCCAATTATCTTATCTTAAGCTACCACTACACCTTTTTAGGCTTTCAACCACCCTTCTAAAGTGCGGCCTAAACTAGAAAAAATTGTGGCCTTGGATAAAAGCCAACACTTTTTGACTTTAGGCAACGTTTTTTAAGGGGTGCCTAAAAAGGCGTAACCTTTGACCTTAGCCTACACTTTTAAAGTGTTGTTATAGCAGCTACACTTAAAAAGGGTGCCCAATGAGGTAAAAAGACCACGCTTTGTAACATCTCATTGGCAACAATTTTATTTGATAACACTACACTTTTGAACGTGGCCTTTGCTTTATCATTGACCACACTTTAAAAGTATAGCTTTTCACAACTCTTCTACAGCAACACTTATAAAGTGTAGCTTTCTCTATGTACATACTACATTTTATAATCAATAAGCCACACAATTTGCATCCCTGTAGCAACACTTTTAAGGTGTGGCAACGTTGTCTAGAATTTAGATATCCACAATTTCTAATTGATAAATAAAAGTTTTGGTTTGGATAGATTCACTAATCACATAATTGTATAATATAAATAATCTCAAACATCAAATTAACTAATTTATAATTCAATATATAGATTTACAATAAACTTAAAAAATGAAGTCTTGTACTACATATATTGAAGTCTTGTACTAGCAATTGTGCTAAATTTCACAATGTATCCAAACATATATAATAATAATTCAAATACACTAATATTGTTCGCCTGAATATATTGAGTTGACCTGGGAACATTATTCAAATTTCATCACCTGCATATTCCTGCACACTCAAAAGAAAATTAAATGTTAGAAAAAAAAAATTAACACTCAACACTAGTCATGGTTAATCATCCTACGAGAGCTTTGGAAAATGAGGAACAAACAACAAAGATCGCATAAATCGACTGCACTAAAACGAACGGATAAATCAGATGCTCCTTGTTGCTCGTAACAACATATTAGCCACTTCTATCAAGACAGTGCAACAAATGAAGGGTTCAATTCCTAGTTTACAAGAAGAGCTTTCATGATATATATCCAGTTTGCGCATTTCATGATTGAGAAAATTATCTCAACAGAACTAATAAGTAGTTTTACCCAAAATAACTAAATAAGCACCACTGCAGTAGTCATCATAGTTGAGAAAATAAAATAAGTAAAAAATAACAACAAACATTCCAAGGAATCAACATGTTCATACATCAATCAGTGATATAAATAGTCATGCCCCACTAATTCAAGATGAACTTATAAGAGGATAGTCCAAAAGACAACATAGTAGTAGTGTAGAAGTCATCAAAGCTAAACAAAATTCTGGACTCAAGAAAAAATCATGATTATGATATAATTTCCAGCAAGTGATCAATACAATTGTTCAAATATGGACAAATTGAAGTAATGTTTAAAAGTATGGAAGAAATACAACAACAATATGCTTACAGGTCATATCATCGAGAGGCTTGGGATGCACTGACCCTTCGTGATTGATACAACTAATCTTCCTGAAGTTTTCAGCACTGCATCACCCAGGAATACTACAAATAAAAGCCGAAAATCAAGACACACCAGAATGCCGTAACCTTAACACATGAATAACTCCGTCAATGTGAATGTTGATCCGTAAGGGATATGATCTATTTTTTATAGTTTGAAAGTATTTTGAACTTTTCTCGATAAATATAGGTGTGTATTAGGGAGAATTATGAAATAAATGAAAATTAGAGTAAGAAAGATATTAATGAATGAAAGATTACGTACAATCCCTTAAGAAATCCTCTGTTTTTGCGAGGCAGGGGAGCAACATATGTGGGGGGAGGTATCACTGGAGAAGGACCACCCTGATAATAACAATTCCCTTCTCCATAAGAACTACACTAAAAAAGAGAAGGAAAATTAAAGGTCATAATGTCAAGCAACAACACAAATGTACTATTTGGAAAAAGATAACAACTGTATGCAGGTACATATTGTCAGAAATTATATGATTCTTCACTTATATTAGTAGCCCTTCAAACTGCATATAAAGAGCACAAGAAGTTCACCTCACATTTCGGATATATTTTAGCAATGAATCTCGCTTCTCCATCCGAATACAAAGAACAGAATAAATAGATAAAACTAACAAATAAGTTAGTGCGACAGAATTCATATTGCAAAATCAACTCATTAGAGGAAAAGCTAAAGTTCAAAGAATCTGTTGTTTGTTCAGGTTGTAGATTGTACGCGTTACTTGTAAATTGTTTGTTAGCTTATTATTGAATCGGTAGCACTTTTTGAAGAATGTAACAGTTGCTCTCCAGAAAGCCAACTGATTTTTTTCGTAGAGGTGAGTTTAAAAGATGCTGTGGCATAATCAGCTATCATCTAAACAGATAGACAAACAAAAAGACACAAAGAAAGACGGCAGTGAATGCACCCTGTTTTGGAAATGAGATCATTTATTCTTACACATTTTTTGTATTCCATCTTTGCTCCTCGACATTTAATCAGCACAATAAATTCATTTCTCCCGAAAAGTGAAGATCAGTAGAGCATGTACATATGACATACGTACTTCATGAATGGATAAGAAACCAATTATATCCTTTTCTTTGCCTAGTAAAGTTGTAGAAATATCAGTGCAAGAGGTGTTGTCTAGAGCACGAACAATGGTGCACATACCATATATAATTTGAGTTGTTTTTTGTCAAGGGTTTCTAACAAATAATTTTCTTCTTTCTTAATGTCTGTAGGATAGTGGATATGATCGAGGCAGAGATTTCAGACTCAATTAACTTCAAACTATGTAGATAGCAAAAATAAAAAAAGAAAAAGGAAGGGTAATCAAAACACTTCCCTACTGTATGGAAATGCAATAAACCACAAACATATAGCTTTAACTAACCTTTGAAGAACGCCAACCCACCACTCTTTTTGACAAACAATGCAACTGGAACACCTAAATCTCATCATAATTCAATATTAACAACAAAAACGCGAAAGTAAGAAACACCCATAATTTTCAAAAATAACCGCAACTCTAAAAAAATCATGCCTAAGCACATGATGAAACAACATAACTCAAGCACATAAATCAGAAGAAGAGTACATATGATGAAACAACATAATTCAGGCACATAAATCAGAGAGAAAAGTAATTCTTAATACTTATCTATAGAAATATAAACGATCAACTTGGACATCAAATATGATCCCACAACACAAGACCTTTTTACATACTCTTAATCAAAAATTTACCGTTCCTTGGGGATGAAACAAATAGTTTTTAGAGAGCATGCATAGCACTGTTTTTCCTACAACCTAAGCAAGAACATAAGAAAATTGAAAGGAAATTCATTAGGAATCTTATGTCCTCATCTATCCGGCACTTTGTACTTTGATGGTTGATATTTTTACTGGCAGGAAGTATGGCATCTTCACCCAAATTTTGTTACTTGTCCACAGACTAAAGGCTTTGCAATTGGTTTAACATTAAAGTATAAGAACATATTGCTATTTAGTAAAAAGAAGTTTGAGGAAAAGAAAAATTACTCTTCTTCCGTTTCTCGTGCAATCAAAAGTACATGTTGATGCTACACTAATCTTTATTAATAGGACCTGATACAAAATATACCATAATCTTTATTGTATGAAGTATGTGATCTTACCATCCTCCAGATAACAGAACCAAATATAAAAGCTGAGGAAATTTTCATTTTAGCCTGAACATTGTTTATTCCATCACAAGAAGCCGCATATTCATCACTTTAATTAGAAGGGAGTTCTCAGTCAACATGTAAAGAAAGAAATGTATATACAGGAGATAATATAAGCTCAAACTAGCTACATTTCATGGTAATGTACTTAGACTGGAACAATACCTTTACACTCAATGAGCTAAAATTCTCCATTTTACATACATAAATGAACAAACCTTATAAGTAATCAGTGCTTTCATGTAAGATTTATAGTTCCAGCATATAAATGAAGCAATTTAATTATGTCACCACTTATAATCAAGATAGTAACTTCAGAATTCCCATTTAAATACAGTAATGACATCGGAACAAAATTAAATAGATGGGACTCTCTTGCGTCCATGCATGTTAACCTGAACTGCCTCCATCAACAACCTTCACACGAAATAGAATCTACACTTCCTATGCAACTATTGTCTATAGACAATCAACAGAAAATTCTAGTGATTTAAATGATCTGGAAAACGTTTCTTTTGCTTTGTAACCACCATCAATACTTTATTAACACAAATACACAATGCAGTATTCTCTTCAAGTGAATCACATGAAATTAAGTTTCTTCCATATTCATATGGCAATGACTTAATTATAATGCACAATATTGCAAGTGCACATGCACACACATGCAATGCATTTACATAAATGCCTTGCATTAATTTTCTATTAATTCTTTCTATTCTAGCAAAAGACGCACTTACAAAAATGCCTCTACTTTTTTACTGAATCCACTCCCTCAACCTGTTGTCGAAGAAGCTATCACACATTCGCTCCCATGAAGAATAGTGAGCAAGATATAAATTAGATATACATTCATAGACAACTGATGTAGGAAGACTAAAATTGATCCACGTCTTTACACAAATCGAAGATACACATACACATTCATCTACTTTTAAACATTTCCTCATAAATTTTGAACCTGTGTTGCTTAAAGATTTCTTGTTAGCTTCTGTTGTAGCCTCAACTTTGTCTAGTTGATAATTTTTATTGACAAGTGTGTTTAGTCATTCAAATTTCTTCAGTTGGAGATTGATACTAGCACGATGAACAAATAAAAATATAACATGCCTTAATCTTATCAGAGAAGGTCGTTCAAGGTCTAACAATACCACCTTTTGAGAACAGTAAAGTGTGACTCGATCCTTTTGTTCATCAAACTGCATAATATGAATCAATAAGAGTAATGCCACCCAAAACTAGTGGGGACTTTTGACACACACACCAAATATTCATATATGGACAATCAACAGTGACTGCTTCATCTCGTTTACAGCCATTAAAACTTTTTAAAAATAAATATAATAAAAAATTGTCTGACCATAATCTTAATTCAGAGCAACCAAAATCATCTTCTGCATGAACTACGATTTAGTGATGATGTAGTGCTATGGTCTATTACATATGAATTAACAGATGCATGTCATTCTTGTTCTTCGTCATTATTTTATATTCAATATAATATAAATGCACAACAAATTCACATATTACTAATTAAGGAGACAAGATAAATATATATACTTTTTGTCTGTATTTATTTTTTGTCTCATAGTTTAAGTAGTAAAAGCAAACAAAATTCCATTTGGATCAAAGTCCCAAACTTTGTTTCCACAAATTTTTGTCGTTATGATTGATCAACTCCCCGACTACTACTTCTTAGTTCATACAAGTGTTTGACCGACCAGTAATTAGACACTAACACTAAGAGAAGTAATAAGTTGTACAATACTTATTTACGAGGTAATAAGAGTTTATGACACTCTTCCCCTATTTTCTCTTATTCTTCATATAACACTCTTTTGTCATGGAAATTACAAAAACATTTAAGATATTAATCTACTTTTCATAATGAAGGCAGTGGTTTTGGAAAAAAATATTAAAGTAACAGAATACTAGAGCCAGTGAAATTCAAAAACAACATAACTAAGACACTTTATATTGATGTTTTGTGTCTAGCGTGGACAAGCTAAAAACATACCAAAACAAAAAAATTCATTTGGATAAAAGGTTCTTAGAAATCTACCTAAGCATCAAACCAGACCTAATGAATAATCCCTGTTGGGTTATGCTTCAAACACAGGGAGGATAATGCACTCATAAGGCAGTGCTGTTCAACATGACCTAAAGCATTGCCGCCTCATCAACTCCTGATCTGACATCAACCGGTACTGTCTTCTACTGGGACCCGTATATATGTGGTAGAAGAGTTATATACCTAGGCATTTGGCCGGTGCAGATTTCAGATTATATATATCTACAACTGTTTTAGAGATCAAACATTGCAAGGAAGTGAAAAAATGTGTACCTTTAAACATGGAAGGAAGTAAAAAGCGAGTGAAAACATTGCCGCAATTACTTCAGAGGAATTCTTATAAGGCATTTGGGAAACCCTAATATCAGCGCTCACTAATTTGGGGGAAAAAATAAGCGTTTGACTACTTATATTTTCGTTTGAGAAATTGTATCTTTTTAGTTTTGCCTTTTATAAATTGGGGGAAATTAGATACGAGGGAAGTACTATTATCTTGGTGAATTTTATTAAATTAGTAGGGCACACTTATAAGATGTTGTATTTAAAATTATAAAAATGACACATTTTAAAAGTGTAATCATATGTATAATGAGGTGTTGCCAATTATATTAATATTCAGCAACACTTATAAAGTGTAGTCTATACTATTAAAGAGTATATAAGTGTTGCCAATGTTTTTGTGGCTAAAAGCCCTGTTCAAAGGCCACACCTATAAGGCCTTTCCACATATACTTTTGGAAACATTTTTCAAGTGTTGTCTAGAATTGATGTTGCCTTAGGCCAAAAATAGTGTAGTTTATGAACTAGTAATGGATTGTGATGGAGTGATTCAATTGGTATTGTTGTCATGTTGGTTATTGATTTATGATGATATTATACCCTTATGGGGTTGAGTAAGGTTGATGGTAAGACCTTGATGATTGATGATGAAGGAGACTTTGTAAGTCTTGAAATCATTGTTCCTTATTTCAATTGTGGTAAATTGTGATTAATTGATGGTATTGCATTGTAGTATATCTTGTATTAAGATTGATAGGGTATCGTATGATGTTGAATTGAAATGTCTTGGCTATGGTTTGTGAGGTGTTGGCTAAGATGTAAATGTTATAAGGATGGTGATAACTTACCAATGTGCCTTATTTTGAAGTGATATGTAAATGTTCTAACCTCACTTATATAAATTGTAATGAAAGGACTATACTCATGCAATTTTTATTGAGCTATGACGATGATGCTTATATAAGGGATAAATCCTATGACCTACACTAAGCAGTGATGATCAACGAAGAAATTAAATACATTTCAAAAAGGACTCTAGCTTAGCACCGAGTGAGCTATATTGAGGAGTGTCCTTTCCCACATAGGGAAGGTAGGATCACTAATGTAATCTTGACATTGGAGACTCCAATGCATGTACCATACGAATGGTCCCAACTATATCTCCTAGATCTTGAACTATGTTTCCCCCATAGGAATACTAGCTAGTGGATCCACGTAATTGCTATGTTCATATTTTGGTACTACCTTGACAAGTAGTTCGCCTTCTTTCGGTGTAACGTTTCATGACACCAGATTCCACATTAGCTCATTTGGTCTATGTTGGTCAAGGCAAGATATTCCCAAAATGTAAAATGAACTAAAAGAATGAACTCTAACTAAGATTGCCTAAGGGGTTTAGCTTAGTCTAGGTAGGGATATGGGACTCTACCTAAATATTACACTAGTTAGCCTTGAGGGAAGTCTTAGGAGGATGTTATTATATATGAATATGCTTTTAATTGCACTGGTTATGTATATGATGATCTTGCACACTGATGATACTATATGATGATTAGTTCCACTTATAAGTATGTGTTGGTCTCTAATTCAAAAGTATGATGATATGTGCTCTTATATGATATGCTATGTGAAGTTAGAGATTGAGTAAGGTTATGTAAGACCTCACAAATGACTTAGGTGAAATAGAGTCTAACATATTTGTTCATGGTGGTGTAAGGTCCTAAATAGGTCTATTATATGATATTGAGGTAGTGTCTAAGAGTTTAGGGGCATCGGAAGTCAAAACATCAAGGGACGACTAAGACGTTCGATGACTAAGTCACCTATGTGCCTCATATGTGGTTCTATGTGTTTTATGTGTGATTAATAAGGTTGTAAGGTCCTTAAATGAGTTATTATTGTGTAAATACGAAGTGTGTCAGGTTTCGTGGAGTTTAGAGGCCAAATGTCCATGACGTTAAAATGTTGTTCATGATAATCTAAGGTCCTAAATAGGTCTATTATATGGTATTGAGTCAGTGTCTTAAGAGTTATGGTGTATTGGAAGTGAAACGTCAAGGGATGACTAAGACGTTTGACGACTAAGTCACCTATATGCCTTATAAGTGTTTCTATGTGTTTTTGTATGATTCATGAGGTTTTAAGGTCTTTCAATGAGTTTTTATAGCACATATAGCTAGTGTGTCGAGTTTTGTGAAGTTTGGAGGTCAAACGTCCAAGAACGTCTATGATGTTTGAAAGATGTGCTTTGAAACGACCTTGTGTGTTTAAGCATGTTTCGTCTAGTTTTACGTGTTTGTTTTGAATGAAATTCATGTGAGAGGTGTTAAACTCATAAAGGGTCATGTTTGTCTTAGAAACGTCCAGGAAAACATCCCCAAGGACCAACCAAGGGTCCTTGAGGAAGGACCCAAACTTAATGTCAACGCTGCCCAAAACAGCCCGAACCACGGAGGCAGTTGACGCCTAGTGGGTCAATCGACGCACCGTTGGCTGGTTTTCGTTGATTGAGACTTATCCTGGGGAGGATAAAGACCAAGGGAAAGCCCCATTTCAAGACCACATACAACCAAGACGGTCCGTAGGCCAAGGGATGGCCCGTTGGTTGGTTTCCGCCGATGCCACTGTGTCCTACACGCTGCTTCACTCTAAAGTGAGGGGTGAAATGGGAATTTCATCCCACTTCAAAATAAGAGAACTGGTGGTTCCATAGGTGTCTTTTGGGTATTTTAAACATGAATATAAGTGTTTAACACTTAGAAGATTTCATTCTTCCAAATCAAAACCCCAAAATAGCTCAGAAGTTCCCCAAGACCCCATTTAAGTTCAAAGTCAAACAATTGCTTGGTGTGACAAATTGAGTGGATATTCTTCACCAAAGTGAAGAACTAGCTTCATCAAGGTATGGATTTTGATCCTTGAAACTCTCTTCATCAAGGAGCCCAACCTTCAAGATATTTTCTAAAGTTTGTAAAGTTTAATTGTCCTATTTCATGATTCTACCATGGGTTCTTGCATCAATTGTTTTTAAACGTTTTTTTATGGATTAAATTGTTATTGTATAGATGATTTTAGACTAAATTACCTATCAACCCATGAATTTGGATGAACCCTAGTTTTTGACAATGTTTTGGGTTATTTGATATTGATCGAATATAGATTAATTCTTATGTAGTTTTATGTGAGCTATTCATTGATGTAATAATTGAAGTAAATTGATATCTACGTTGTGTTAGATTTATTAACTTACATTGAATTGACCTAGTTCATTGATTATTGTAGTTTTTTATGTTGAATTGATTTTCATGGCCATTGGTAAGGGTCTTATGCTGTTGAATTTTATGATTTAGCATTGAATTGAGATGTTGATGATGGAGCGGGGGTAGGCTGCCCTATTTCCTTTATTTTGTTATTGTTTATACTTCAATTATGTTGTGATTGGTATGGTTCACTTATGGTGGCAGTGTTATGTGTTTTACTTGCAATTGATGTGGCCTTGTCGGTGTTACTTTATGCATTATGATGATCATGGCCTTGTCGACAACTACTTGGAGTAATGTGGCTATTTGTGTAGTTGATTATGTGAATCATGAAAATATCTATCTAAATGTGAAGTCGTATATGTGTTCTTCTATTCATGTTATCTTATGTGATCATGTTAGACAATGACTTTGACCTTATGTGTATAGTCTTAGGGTTTAGTCTTGGTTATTCCAAATTGACTAAATGAGTCTATATTGGTAACATTGATGATGGTATGATAGTGGATAGGATGACTTGAAGATGATATGCTTATGTTTATGTGTTTCTAAAATGTCATGTATTATGAGTTAAAGTGAAGTATGTGGTGTCTTGTCTTGGTTGACTTGTGTTCCTTGCTTGATGTATGTATGAATATGAATATGTGATGTCTTGACTTAGGATGTTAAATTTTCTTAGTCTTGAATGTATGAATGACATGAGACCTTAAATAATGTTAACGGAGGTTGTGACGGTTCGTCGTGCCCATGATGGTCCGTAGGTGGCATAGTAGTGCAGCTTGTGAAGGAAGATGGGGAAGTCTGACTAAGTTTGGGGTTACGAAGTGCGTGACGGACCGTTGTAGCCATGACGGTCCGTCCTGCTGGTTCGTCATAAAGATCAGAGAAGTAATCTAGTACCCAAATTCCAAGAGTTCAAGTGATATGGAACGGAGACCCCCGACGGACCGTTGTGCCTATGACGATCCGTCATACCTGCCGTCAAGGGAAATGAAGAGAGCAGTAGAAGAAATTGCATAAGTATGGGACGACGAAATCCATGACGGCCTATCGTGACCATGACGATCCGTATCGAGGTCCGTCGATCGAGCCGCGTTTTGACAGATTTCGAGCAAATAGAGTCCTTATTTAATTAGGTTTTTATTTTTTATAAATAGTTTAAAAAACTCGTTTTTGGGGTTAGACTCTTGATTATTTTTAGACTCTTTGTTAGACTCTTGATTATTTTTAGACTCTTTGGTAGTTAGATTTTCATATAGTTAGACTCTTGGTTATTTGAGCTTTTTTTGTGGATTAGACTCTGTGATTATTATTACACTTTTAGAGAATCTTTAGTCTTCAATTAATTTTAGTAATTGATTGTTGGTGATTTTTGTTGATTAATCAAGTGAACTTCTGGATTTTATTCTTTCTCATTGAAGGAAGTGCATGAATTCTTATATTACATATTTGAATACTGTGATTATGATTATGGGTAACTAAACTCCATAACTAGGGTTGTGGAAGCCATAGGTGAATAATGAGGTAAAACTTAACTAAAATAACAATTCTAGAATAGTGTCTTGCATGTATTTATAATTCTTTCATTTAGAAGTCTTTTTAACGGATGGCCAATGCTAGAACTCGCCTTAATGCTACTTGCCGGACCAAGGAGGTAGATAATAGGAAAAGAATTATCAAGTTAGATTTAGTGTATACTATCTAATAGGCTAGTATTGATTGGTACGAGGTAATAATTTAGTCAAATATCAAATACAATGTTTAATATGAGGTAAAGGTAAGGGTTAGTATAGCAACACACGTAACTGGATCAAGGTGCGGAGTGAAACTTTCTAGATGCCGGACCAAGGATTTAGAAATACATAACTTATCAATTTGCATGCAAGATACTAAGAAAGAATTGTTATAGTTAGAATTATCA